TGGATTATTAAAGCCATCAATAAATGCTAATTAAGCGACTAATCAAGCGATAATATTAATATGGAATAAAACGTCGGATATAAACACGAATTATATAACGGTCGTTTTGGGATCGAAAAGCTATTTAATTATAAAAACAAAATAATGCACTTGCATGGAAAATAATATTTGTTGCAAAATTTATTTATCGAGTTTAATTTACACGAAAAATTGATCATGTAATTACACTTTGGTTACTTCAATAACAATTTGTAATGTGGTTCGGCATATACTTGTTCAACGATTATTAGTGGGAGCTCGCTATAATCAGCGGTATAAGCGGATTATCGTGATATTATGGAATAGGCACGCTTAAGATCATTATCGATGATTTCCATATAAAATTATTTACGAATATCTGATCTTAAATGTATGAACAAGGATATATTATCAGCTCTTTTTAGCAACTTAAGCTGTATAATCTTTTTGTTTTAATCCTTCAAGATCTCTATGAAAATGCAAAAATTCTAGATTATATCCTTAATAGTGTAGTAACGTTACCAGTTAAAACTCCATTTATCGAACCTAGCAAGCAGTAATGTGGAAATATACTTCTTTGGCCTACTTTTTCCTTAGTTTTATAGCTTTTAAAAACTGCAATAATCCAGTTACAATTTCTAAAATTTATGTAAAATTAAATATATATCATACAAAATTTAGGAAAAAATTAAGCAAATTATTATTATGAGATAAAGATCTCGCTAGAAATAAAGAGAATACAATAAATAATCTTTTAATATTAATAAAATTAACAGAAAGTAATCCTAGTCAAAAAGAATTTACAGTAATATAAACATTGAGAATATACTATACTAAATAATACTAAACTAATAGTATACTAAACTTATACAGTGATAAAATAGCAAATAATACAGTTGACTCAATATTAAATGATATTAAAAAAATTAAGTTTATCTAATTAATGCGTCTAAAATATTTTAATACATCATCTGTCGTTGATACGTTATTTCGTAATGGATTAAATAAAGATCGATTCTCCCCACTAAAAAGAGAAAGGCTTAAGTTTTAGCTGAATTGCCCCGCGAGCTTTCTCAGGTTTAATCTTGCAATGACTCGAGACCTCTATCGAGGTCCCCTAATAATATAATCGATAAAAGGGAGCATCGTATCTTAATGTGATCGCCCTTGACTTTGTTTGATTAAGTTCGCTGGCTTCGTCAAAGCGAGTTTCTTTAACGGAACGATCACGTGCCGAATGAGTTCCTCGAGTTTGGCATGAGTTCTTTGCGATTCGAAAGATATGATCGATCCACGATAAAGCTGCGAATCGCAAGCTAGCCGCATAATAACTTTTGGCGATGGCCAGCTGCATTGTGACACTGTGATTTAAGTCGGAAGTAATTGCTGCATATCGAGATTTATGGACTGCACAACTCGCAGTTTACCAGTAAAAATACTGCTCGTGAAAATAGTGAGTGAAACGCGTGAGCAAAGATATTTAAATGAAGAGCCAATGTGTAGGTACACAAGATGAAGCTCAATTGAGACGGAGGTCTTTGACCTGAATTCTCACGGTGCATTTAAAATTAAATGTGCTTGAGGATCGTTTCATGTGTACATCGCGTGCACTCTGGATATAAACTTAACATCAAATAGAAACGCCAAATGTCTGCTAAATTCTATTTAAAAAAAAGAGGAGGAGAGATTCTCTCTATTATATAATCTTAAAAGCTTTTCAAATTTTAATTAGGCGTCATTATTTATTAATTTAAAAATATGCTTATGTATAAAATTTTCTTATTATTTCTAATTTACAAAAAAGCGCTATTGAAACTTGATCTGAGAGTAATAGAGCAGAGAAAGATCGCAATACATTTAAAAAATCATCTTTGTTATAGTTATTCTACAATTAATTGAAAAATAATGTTTTAATTTGATTTATTGTAATTAAAATTGTAATACAAAATAAAAATTTGTTGATTTGCTATTAAGAAAAAAGAAATATTTCATATGTGAAACAAATACGGTTATAGGGTTAACAAATGTGTGACGAGAAAGCAAGATACGCTCGAGTGACCGGGCGAGACGGCGGTTGTGTCCCGTTTTGTCTCACACCGGGAATCATACATTCAGTGTGATTTAATAGATTCGGCGGTTCGCCGGGGGCGCGAGAGAGACGAGATGAGTATGCATCGTGTCCGGATGCGAATGCACCGGGAGTCAACACCGGCGACAGTCGACACTCAACGTCGGTCTGCGGTCGCGGGTTAAAGCCAGAAGCGACAGGCCGCGGCAGTACCTGCATAATGACTCGACTGCAGCCGTGCACTGCGGCGCGCGGGCTCTGCGCGATGCACCGCACCGGTGCGGCTGCCGCGCCGGACCAACCGTGGCAAGGCCAACTTGCACGCTCCTCGTCCCGAGATGCATCGATGCATCTTTCACGGATTGGGAGTCGGAGCGTTTTTCGAGATTTTCGCGGGTCCTGAGCACATCCTTGCTCTCTCTCTTTTCCGGAGATGTCACATATATTGGAGCCCACGTCCCGATATTCCGATTATAATAGAATTCAGAGAAGAGAATTTTTACAATTGTATTTTTAAAATTATTTTCGGAGAGATGCTCTAATATAATTTCAGTATCAAGAGCAGTTCTTCATAAAATCCAATTTGCATTGTTGTAATAAAAAGTTAATCAAATATTACTATCGTTGATTTGTTAATAATATATTACTTAATTTAATGTTGTAATTTTAAGCTAATGAACTAACTGTTCAAACTGATTTGCTAAAAAGTTAAGTTGCTTATTTAATAATATATCATATATGTATTATATTTTAGACATAGAGATACTTACAGAGAGATTTTTATAATTAAATATTTATTAAAAAATCTCTAATTTATCGTCCATTTGCGCTTTAAAATAATAATTAAATTTTTATTTTTTATTTTACGAATAGAATAATTTTTTGTTATAATAAGAAAATGAATTAATAATTTTAATTGCATTGCAGATATTTCGATGAGTTTGAGGTCAGTTCTCCGACTGCAGTACGTAGTTTGTAAGGGAAATTTCGGTAAATTTACTCGCTCTTGACGTCAGTACAAAAGATATATATAACTAAATCGACCGTCATACCAATTTAAGGCAAAGTACAGTCGATTTAAGTACATACAGTGTATGTAGTTAAATCGTTATTTATTTTATCCTTGATATATCGTTTTTTTATTTATTTTACTTGCAAGTTCTTTATCGAAACAATTTGGACACATGAAACAATGATGTACTAAAAAAAAGAGATTTGTCTTACAATATAAAAATAATAATTAATATTATTTTATGATTAATAAATTTCGTTATGTGCGAAGAAGCATGGTCTTCGATTTTGTACAAGATCGACATCTTTCGGTTGTACCACTTTTGCCACATATTACTACGGTAACTCTGTTTACCGACATTCTCTCTCTCTCTACTGCATTTCTTCAATGATAAAATTAAATATCGAGGGTGGAACAAAAGGGGATTTGCTTTAATGTAAGAATTACTTGCTGCTGTACATAAGTCGCATTTATCGACCTACTCATAATCCCGGCCACAGAGAAAGAATCTTTCAGATTCCTATATTTGCTGCGGTAGATATCTTTTCCAAGCTGTTGGAAAGCAGTATGTATTATTATGACTATGACATTTGAGATATAATTAAAAATTTATAGTTGAATATTTAAAATAAATATAAAACATTACTTTAGTAGATGAGATTAAAAAAGATAAATCACAAAGTCGTATTTTATTATATTCTTTAATTATACTTGCTCCAAATTGTTAAGTACTATATTATTTAATTTATAACAATAATTATCTTCCAAAGAAATAAATGAGATTTTTGAAGAAGTATGGCTTTATCATAGAGAGAGCTCTTTATATATTGTGATCCAAGAATATTCTTATTATCACATTCCGTAGAAATCTTCACGTGTTTACAATCAGTTGAAATAATTATTATCTTAGTTTGAATGCAAAGAATTCAATTTATTGATTTCCAGCACTTTTTTAGGTATTTTCGAGTAAATATTTTTTGTTCCAAGATGCTGTTGCCAAATATTTTATCGATACTTTTACAAGTTTAAAAGCAAATCTATATAAACTGTGGAATCTTAATAATAATGTCGTTAGACATAACATCGTTAGTTTAAAAACAAATCTATATGAACTTTGAGCTTTTAATGATAACGTCGTTTGACATAACTCGTTTACAAACAAATCTATATAATTTTGGTATCTTAATGATAATAATCACCAATATACTGACGTTACAATTACGTCAATTGATAGTAAAATGTCAATATTTGTCTTTTTAATTGCAATAGATTAACGTGATTTTTCTTACATCAGAGCTTTTCCTAAAGCTAATCCGATTAAAGCATTGTATCTTTTATTATATTAAACTTTATTGTAAATTAAAAAACAAGAATTTTTACATTTTTGTTTTTATATTATTATTATATTTTTTTGAGAATGTGTAGAAGAGAGTAATTGTTAATCATTCTTAAAAAAATATTTAGGACTCAAGGAGAAGAAACTATCGTCACAATTACGATAAAATAAAAATAGAATTCTGGAAATTTTTTAATATTAGGTAAAAGCTCTCCAAATTTCCATAATTTAACAATCTTTCTTGAAAATTCTCCTCTCTGTATAGTGTCTCAAAATTTCTATTTTTCTATTGAAAATATAATGGCTTAAGTCGATCTAAATTTAAAAAATAATTATCGATCGTATAATATCAAAAATATAAAATTGACATATTATTTTTATTATATTTCTATAACGGATTATTCTACTTTCTATATTTTTTCATTTTTCATTTACTATTTATTCATCTTTTATACTTAATTTAATAGAATCCAGAATTTTCTCATTTTTTCTGGCTTTCAAATTTCACTGAAAATCTATGCCACAGACTGCGCAAGCGTTACTAATGGGCCGACCTGCTTACCTTCGTCTATATAGAAATCTTGACATCTTTTTTCATTAGCCTCACATCAGTCCTATGGCTGATCAAAAACTTACACGACCACTTCTATTTTCCAAGCTTCATGTTGAATGATATCAGCGAAAACTATTGTGCTACCATGCATGCTTTGTCGAGTAGCAACAGCTTCGTCGGTATAGTTGCCGCAATGTGAGCACGTGGCATAAACTGGCGACTCCGTCATATTGATCGACCTGAATCCGCGCTTTAATCGGCGCGTCGACTCGCGCACTTGTCAGTTCCCTGAAAGTATCTGTGTACCCCGCTTTTACGGCATAATCGCGGCCGCGTAGTCGCACCGTGGCATCTCACGAAACTGCATCGTGCTGCATCGTGCCCTCGTTAGGCTCGTTTCGCCATCGCCATGCACCGATGATGTAGACTCGTCGATAGACGCGCTGAGGGGTTCGAGCTTGAAGAGAGTGCATAGGCGCAGAAGGGTGCCAGATATCGTTGCAGGGTCGACAATCGAATCCGAGATCGCAAGGAATGACAGTAATCAGTAAAAGAAAATAGACTTTGTGTTCAAGACATCTTTAAAAAAAGAAGGATACTAGTGTTTGTCAAGAGAAAATTGAAACTTCTAGATCTGGTGGTGCAAAGAAGAAAAAGTATGTGCAAATTATTAAATTTAAGTCTATAAACGCATTTAAAAAATCTGCCTTACAGCCTGAACACAAATAACGCAAAACTTTTCGATTACAATACAATATTTCGATTTTATGTAGCTTTAATCATATGTTTCCCTGAATATAGTTAAATAATTATTTTTTACCTGTTATTATTAATATCAAACGATGCAGTTGCATATGAATACTGTATAGATTAAAAAAAAATTGAATGCAGAATTTTATATCTGTGAAATCTTTATACAATTTTGAAGTGTGATTATATAAATAAGCAATTTCTACTTTAAATTTCTACTGTAAAATAAAGAAATAAGCAAATGCTTTATGGTACAGAAAAAAATTAATTCTAAATATTTGTTAATGTGTTAATTCTTATAAAAGAATTATATTATTTGATTTATTAAATTTCTATTAATCCTTTTTTAAATCACGTATTTTTTACAGAGCAATAACTTTCATCCCAAGTTTATAATTAAAATATTTTATGTCATGAGAAATATTTTGTCAATTTATTTTTTAACAAATAGTGTATTTATTTAATATGTAGTTTGTTCTAATTGAAATATTACATAATTTAAATAAAATAGTTTTTTAGTGTTTAAATATATTTGGCATAATAATTCACTACATTTTATCTACACTATAGAATTATCATGAAATCCAATATTGCTGAACCTCATGACTATTTAAACGATTTAGTGCGTCATTATTTCATTTAGCTACTAAGTGCCTTAAATTGAGTACTCGCTTTATGACAATTCTCAAATACATACGCGTTACCATATGCACGCGTTATCATTTCTAAATGTAAAATAAAAGACGCAAAAGATACAAACAAAAAGAGTTACCAACTAATTTAAAATGTTATTTAAAAAAAAAGCTTTTGTGTGGATCAATTTTTATTTAATGGACGCACACACACATATATAATACATACAATAATATATTAATTTAATAATTTTTAATATATAAAACTATTAAATTAAACTACACTAGTAACGAATTACGACAAAACATCTTTTATTAATGCAAAGAAAAAGTAATATAAAAGAAATATTTTAATAAATAAATGAAGTAATAACTAATTCACATACTTATTTTAATTAAAAATTTACAATTATTATTGTCTCAAAAGCATAAAATAAAATCAATGAAAAATATTTATCATAAATGATATTCTAAAGCTAGATCTATGAATCTTTAAAGATCTGCTTTTAGAGATCTGAATTTCATTATTATAAGATTGATTTGCGTAATTTCAGCAAGATTGTCTGAAATATATGGCCGAATCAGCTCGTGCTAATCGAGCATTGTTCGATGCTTGAGAAAGTCTCGATATGACACAAAGCTAGACGAGGTATAAGGACATCCGCCGTCAGGATGTGGACAAATCACTTGATAGTGGGTAAGTGCGTCCTTCACGAGCTTTTTATTTAATACCGAAAGATTTTATATATCTCTCTCAGGAAGATAACATTGGAAGAAGCTTTTCACTTGCGCAAATATTCGAGCATATATTTAATATCTAGCTTCTATGGCTTGCAATTGGAGAACAACCAACATAATTCTGTTACTTGGAATTTAAGACAAAAAATGTCATAAATAAAATATTAAACCATATATTATATAAAATATAGGATATGTTTTCCTTTGAGCGCAAATTGTAAGTTAACAAAGTATCGCGATTGATTACGCATCGAGACGTCGGTAACTCTGGAAGAGTTTAACTTTATAAATTTTAGCACAACTCTTATTTGCAATTGCTATAAATCTTATTACGGGTCTAGACCCGTAAATGTTATTACGTATTCGATTAATCAACACGCGTACGGCCGCTGCCTCCGTGCTGCTAGGTACGTGGACACGTACGTACGTAACATGAGAAAAATCCGCATTTGAAAAAAATCTAAAGGGCTGCGTATAAAATATAGATATATATCAATATTATATTGTTTCTTAATTAGTCATATAAAAATAATTATGTTAAGAAAATATATTTTCCGAATTTATAATTTTTTTACAAATTTTATATTAATTGAAAATACAAATTCTTTAAATTTAATCAAATGCGGAAGTTTATTTTCCAAAAAGTGCGACAGGCATCTCCAAATTTTCTTGTTCATTAATTCAAATACATTTGTCTTGAATATCTTATCTCATTCAATATGATAAAATATGCAAAATATATTATAAAATATAATAACATAATTAATATGTTTAAAATAAATTAATAAAGGCTCTTATAAAAATATCATCATCAGAAGGAGACAAAAAGCAATCAAGAGTCAGCGCAGTAATTTGTGCGCATATGTTTTATTAAAATCAAATTACATTGATATTTTAACTAAGTGACACAATCGAAAAAGCGTACGTTTCGATCTTTTTTTTGGACCATCTTTAGCGCAATTACAAAGTATATGGAACATATTAAATCAAAAATGTAATAATAATAATACGCAGAACAAAAATAAGTCCATGTTGTCAGAAGGTAAATGTTATATAATGGAATTTTGAGACAGAAATATAATATTTTAAAATATGAATGTAATTGTAATGAAACATATGCGCACAAATTACCGTGCTGGCTCTTGATTGCCTTTTGCCACTTTTGTATAATTAATATGTGTTTTATTGTTTGCAAATTTATTTTAGTATTTTTTTTTGCTTGTATTCTTATACTTTTCCTTTCGCTTATATATTCCGCACATTTGTTACATTTTTTATTTGATATTCCATGTTCACATACGAGAAATTTTTATATTTCCTACAAATTACGTCGAACTCTGTACAACTGCTGCATAACAATCACCACCGAAACATGCCATTCAAGCATAAGAATATCGATTCAGTTCACTTACCTCTTACAGCGTTTGCTATATACTTAAGTTCGTGTTCTACATTATGCAGCAAACCATGAGTGAAATGCGATCTTCCCCACTAATTTAAATAATTCTTACACATATCCCACAGAAGTTTTTAATCCTTTGCCCTTTTACACCTACGCGTATTACACCTATGCAAAAAATATATAATTTTAAATTACTACCTACACATATGTTATTATTATAAATATGTAACTTTAAGCACATTTAAATATATCATGTGTTATGTGTGAAATCTATATTTTATTTTTTCAATGTAGTTTTTCAAGATGAAAGATTATTGTATAAGCATATAAAATAAAATGTGTCTCTCAAAGCTCTTTTATAATCAATCAAGAGTGCGGTCGAGTTTAATTGTTAAATTACAACAGATATTACATCATTTTCTGTTCTATACTTCGTTCTATATACTGTATGCTTTGTGTATTCTATTTACATCCCTATATTGTATGCACCATGTACATATATGCCACATATTCCATTTCCACGTATATTCCATAATCCTACTCTACATACTGTATTCTCGGTCATGAAGCACCGAAATTTTTTATCATACGTTTATTTATAACTTATAAGGATAAAAAGTCTAGCAAGTTTCAACTTATACAACGATTCAACAAATTTGGACGTGTCTGCCGCATTATTCCTCTTTGATCAATTGAGTGATAGCATTATTAGCTAGCGCAATTGTCAGCGGTCCCAACATCATTAATACCAATACGCTAGAGTCGCGCTATAGAGGCAGTAGCGGTTGTAGTGATAGTCGTAGCCACCGTAGCTCGGCTGTATAATAGCGCTAGTCGCTTGTGTTATCTGACTCATTATATACACATATACATCAAGTTACTTAAACTAGTAACCTGCGTACACACATTGTCAACGCACATTGCCTAAATGCAGTAACCGATCTTTCGTTTTCAGCGGCAATTGTACTCGCGGTTGCCAACGTCTGTCGTGCGGAGTGCCAGAGTGAGTGATTAAGCCAGCTTACTCTCCTCGGTGTGCCCGTGCCGTGTCGTCGGACTCGTTCGCTAGGGACTCGATGAAGCTCGATGCGTCCGCGGCCAAGTGACTCTCGTCAGAGTACTCACTCCCAGGATATCCTCGGGGGCCGGGGAAAAAGCGTTCTCCGCCGGAATTAATCGGCCGAGTTTGCTTTAGACCTGAACTGGACGAAAAACTGGGGAATTCGTTTATTATTAAGAATCTGTCACTTGAGGACTATTTCAACAATCGGATTTCAACAATTGAATTTCCGATAAATCAGGAATAAAATCACAAGTGTCAATCGACCTTAGTTTAACCCTATTCTCGTCCAGTCTTATCGAGCACACAGCCACGTCACCGAAGCATTCGCGCTTCTTTATTGTGCCGTGAAAAACAAACAATGTCTTATATTTGTTTTTTAGAGCTCGCGCGCGCGCGGGCGCCCATTGATGCAAAAAATCTTACATGAGAAAATGTGCACTTGGAAAGCGATGTGTTCGCGAAGTAAAAATCTTTAGCCTCTTAGGCTCTAGATATCTTAATCAGCGCGAGATGACAAATCAAGATTAAATATATAATTTATTCAAATTGAATAATTCCTAATCTTATGTATTTGATTTTGGATTTGTTAGCTAAAGTCATTTATAACCGTTTGTTTAATGCTAAACATATAATTGTTTAAATTAAAGTTTGCTACAAATTTGTACATAATATTATGCTCACTATTATTATATATATTCTATTTTACAAATATATCTGTTATAAATGTACACATTGTCAACGCACATTGCCTAAATGCAGTAACCGATCTTTCGTTTTCAGCGGCAATTGTACTCGCGGTTGCCAACGTCTGTCGTGCGGAGTGCCAGAGTGAGTGATTAAGCCAGCTTACTCTCCTCGGTGTGCCCGTGCCGTGTCGTCGGACTCGTTCGCTAGGGACTCGATGAAGCTCGATGCGTCCGCGGCCAAGTGACTCTCGTCAGAGTACTCACTCCCAGGATATCCTCGGGGGCCGGGGAAAAAGCGTTCTCCGCCGGAATTAATCGGCCGAGTTTGCTTTAGACCTGAACTGGACGAAAAACTGGGGAATTCGTTTATTATTAAGAATCTGTCACTTGAGGACTATTTCAACAATCGGATTTCAACAATTGAATTTCCGATAAATCAGGAATAAAATCACAAGTGTCAATCGACCTTAGTTTAACCCTATTCTCGTCCAGTCTTATCGAGCACACAGCCACGTCACCGAAGCATTCGCGCTTCTTTATTGTGCCGTGAAAAACGAACAATGTCTTATATTTGTTTTTTAGAGCTCGCGCGCGCGCGGGCGCCCATTGATGCAAAAAATCTTACATGAGAAAATGTGCACTTGGAAAGCGATGTGTTCGCGAAGTAAAAATCTTTAGCCTCTTAGGCTCTAGATATCTTAATCAGCGCGAGATGACAAATCAAGATTAAATATATAATTTATTCAAATTGAATAATTCCTAATCTTATGTATTTGATTTTGGATTTGTTAGCTAAAGTCATTTATAACCGTTTGTTTAATGCTAAACATATAATTGTTTAAATTAAAGTTTGCTACAAATTTGTACATAATATTATGCTCACTATTATTATATATATTCTATTTTACAAATATATCTGTTATAAATGTAATACACTTAAAAGTCATATTTAATACTAAGCGCGGAGTCAAAATAGGGATCTGTGAAAAAATTGAGCACTGTTGCTCACGTAGATGAATCATTATGTTTTGACTTCGTGTACATTCTTTTCCGAGTGCGATAAAGGCGATGCATGATTTTTGAGAATGTTTCTATTCGCAGCTCGCTCCATTTACTGTTACGAGTGCGACTCATGGACGGACCTCAGGTGCAAGGATCCTTTCAACTACACTGCACTACCCAGGGACCAACCGCCCCTGATGACCTGTAACGGATGCTGCGTGAAAATGGTCCGCAACGCGAAATCACGTGAGTATTTAATTTCACTAGAAAAGTTTAATTCTCTCTCTCTAGAAAAAATACAAATTCCTATATTAGGTTTTAGATTTATTTTTAATTTATATAGATTTGAAGGAAAAAATTTAATCAAATAAAATCTGGTATCATTGTAAAAGATATGTATTTTATATCTTATATTGTATTATAAATTATATAGATATGATTATGTGGAATCACAATTTTATAAGACTGCAGGAATTTAATTGCTGCTTATCGTTCTCTTTTGCTTGCAGCGTATGAGAGCGTGAGGAGAACCTGCACCTCGCAGCTACAAATAAACTTATTCATGGTGGACCACGTGTGCATGATGGAAAGTACCGGCACTGGTCACATGTGCTTCTGTGAGGAGGATATGTGCAATCGTGTACCCCCGACCTTGCGCTCGAATCCCGTACTCCTGCTGATCCTGTCGACCATCCTTGTTCTACGCTCGGCCGTCTTAGGAGCCTCAGCTTGCTTTGTAGAACGTTGCCATGATCACGTCGTATAACACTAATTAACTCGATCCACCCATCGCAGTGGCGTCCAATCATATCCTTCGTAGAAATTCTAGCGAGTCGACAACACGACCACTCGTCGGAACGAACGATCGAGCTGGCTTCGATCCTGAAGGCTAGATCCTTCGAGATGTAAAAGAAAAAGGTAGCCGAGAGAAAGTAAAAAGCGATGGACGATCGACGTGTCGTTGTAGTTATCATTAATTTTGTGCCTCTTTCAAACGCACGTCGTCGATCCATCCAATCGCGTGTAGAAGTATAAAATATATTTCTAATCTATATATGTATATATATATTTATGTATATTACATTATATATATATATATGTGTGTATATGTATATATATATAAATTTTATCAAAGTTGCATATCTTACGATAGATAATAGATGCATAACAGAGAATGCGAATGTTGAAATGAGCTTGATACATATTGAACGTTGCAAAGAAATATATATATATGGATAGTAGATCTCTCCGCAAAAATAATATTTATCTATCTATTCTTATAAGAGATTTTATTATGTATTATAATGTTAAATTAATTTTACATACATTATACTTTTAGGAAAAAGAAGTTGAGAAAAAAGCTGAAAAAGAGTTAATATTAATTTGCATTCTATGAAACTTGGTCGTATTATATAATTGTAATGTTTAATTCTATGATATATGATAAACAGAAAAAAATTCAATTTTCTTCGACTGCGAGAATTGCACAATCTGTGTGCATCGTTCGTTCCGATTACTGGCCTTAGATAGCATCGAGAATATCTAAGCGTTTCTTGTGTAGAAATCATCCCGACTGTCCAATCGATTTCTCTGACGATTTTGACACGAGTTCGAGTTCTTTGTTAGTTGCTCTTTGAGCAAGCACGGCTAGCATCTTCGCAATGCATTCGTGATATAAGCTCTGAGGAAGGAATTTTATTAAAAAAAAGGAAAAAGTATAAAATAAATGTTTAAAATAAAATATTGAATATATATATATATGAAATATTAAATATCTATTGAATATTGAATATTAAATATCATCATCTGTTTGAATGATGGATCTAAACTACGTTTGTAATATAAAACTAAGATAATACAATAATTCTATTAGAAAGAACATTTTCGATTTATACAATAATTTTCTGACATAAAGCATACAAATTACTCCGAGTTATTTACCTAAATTATGTAACTTTGCAATATTTCTCGTTTAAATTTAACATCCTTGGTGCTTTATATATTCTGCTATGTATCATAAAATTTAATTGCACTGCCCAATTTTAGAATTAGAAAAGAATATTCCATTGAGTAAAATTATCATCAAGATTTACTGAAATTGAACTCCTTCCTCGGCGTTGTCGTTGCATGTACTCAACCGTCGTCTGGGAACATCGATGATGGATTAACCGTTTACCCTAATAGTACTACAAAGAGAAAAACCAATGTGGATACTCTAACTTTCGGTTTTTTCTCACGAAAATGCACCTCACTGTGTCGTTTCTCTCATTCTAATGCGACAATGTTTGACGCGACTGGTCGAGTTTCGTATGATGCGAGAACTTGTTGAAAAGCACAGTAACATTGCACGACGTATGGACGCCGGTCTGTATATAAGATGTAAAATTTAAAAAAAAAAATATTTGCATATAAGAATACTCAAAAAATTTTTAATTTTTAAATAAAATTAAATAAACAAATTAAAGTTTTATTAATTTAAAAATTATAAATTTTTTTATGCAATAATGCAAATAATGTATAAAAAAAAGTATTGAAAAGCAAATGACTATAATCCTTCAAGATAATTAGAATTTTACATGACATATAACAGGGAAAGAAATTGAATAGACATCTTTCCGAATTATATTTTTGCGTTTATGTCTATCGCTTTATACATGCGTTATTTTCTGCAATTATCTATTTAATGAACTTGGTATCGCATGTATATATCAATTCTCAAATAATTATTACACGACGATAACGATGATATTATGAGGAAAAACGGCGCTCATTCGTCAAGCAAATTTTATCGATTTAGCAAAACGCTTCCTTGATTCTTTTACTCAATCACAACTCTTATTCACTGTTTTTCACACCGTCTTTCTATCTCTTTCTCTCTTTATCACACAGCCTGATTCTTTACCTATGCACTCTTTTTTCGTTCTTTTCATTCTTCGACAGCGCAACTTTCTCGTAGATATCTTGTCCGTTCGTTATTCTAATAAAACATTCTCATACTTGAAGTGACGGGAAGGCATTGAGTCTATGATAGAAGAAGCGAGCTTGTATTATAGAAAGACTACTTTAGATGGCATGGTTGCAGCATGCACATCCAACAGACAGCACCGACAGATGCAGAAAGAACCGGCCGGGGGACGAGCAGCGAAGATGACGTTTTCGAATCCCGGAAGTTATCTAAATATACATATGCGCACGTTTTTCGAAACAAATAGAATATAATTAATTTAACATTATAATAAGTTTTATAAAAAACATTTTCTGTCTAATAATTCTGTCTAATTTTGACATATAAAGATTAAAATAAACAGAAAGATTAAAATTTTAATATTCAACTCTTTGAAACTTTAAAAATAGTGAAAATTTTCATGTTTTAATTCTAAGAATTTGAGAATTGTTTTAAGAATATCAAATTTGGATTTAAAATTCTTTTAGGATTTGGGAACTTAAAGAATTTTGAAATTTGAAAAATGAAAGTAAATATCTAACAATACGAAAATTTTTCTAAACATCTTCTAAAAACGGGCGCACACTCAAGGGCATAAATCAATACAGTGATGAAGTTTCAACTTACAATTAGAAGAAAAGTTGCGTCATAGACGAAAATGAAGTTGAGTGCATGGATTGTAGCGTTCACCAGACTGTACGAATTATGGAAAGTCAGCGCAGAAAAATTTTATTTTTAATCGCAATATCTTTAATCATAAATCTGAATTTCTATTTGCACACAATAAAGATTAATAGATTAATAGAATGTCTCATGTGTATGTATGTATGTATATAATCATATATTTTTAAGAAAGAATGAAGAATACAAAACATACACAAGGGAAACAAATTTTTCAAATGTCTCACTATATAATTGAAATTTCTGCTTCTAAGTAAAGATATTTCTCTTTCTCAATTTCATAACATTTTTTATATATATCTACAGAATATATAATATGCTTTATAAAATATTTTAACTTAATTGATTTTTAAATAACTGTTTCCATTACTATCTCAGATAAAATATTTTATATACAGCTTATTTAACTATGATCCAATATGCAGGGAACAGCTTTGGCGTTTGACTTTCAAATAGCCGTACAGTAACACCTTGCATGAGACTGCATGATCCTGTCGTTATTATTCTTGCGTGTGAACGAGTATTCCACTTCCACAGTCACTGGTCGAAAGCGAACAGCGTTTTTACAACCAATTCTTGAATTTTATGACATATACATTATTGAATAATATACGTAAAGTTATATACGTGATCAATGAAATCTAAAAGATTCAAAGTTTTTTCCACGCTTATATAGATCCAAAAGAATCACGCTGCTGTTTCTTTCCATCCATGACTTGTCCGAATGCAATAACAACAAGAACAATAACAGCATTAACATAAATAACAGTTATGACAACTATGACAACTATAAATAACCCACGATACCTTCCACCCCGACGAATGCAACGCAAAACAGACGAAAAGCAAAGCACAACGTGGGCCTTCAGCTTCGTTTGTGCCGCAATTAACGAGCCTGTCGCTTCTGATAAAAATCGTGTTTAGTTGTTAAATCGAATTTAGTCTCACTCGTTCGGATCTCAACTATTTAACAAGGAAAACTGTTGAATCGTCGACTCGTGGCATTCGAGTCTGGTATACATCAATTGTATACAGCATTATTTATATACATATAATATAAAATTTCACTTCGCTAGTATTGTGCCAACAATACGGAATGCATTGGTGAAATGACTTTATTTTTTAACGGGATGCAAATCATGGTATCTCTACCGTTAAAAAATATTGTGCAAGAGTGAGTGCAAACAATTTAAATCACCGTTTGTCACTCGATGATGATGCAATCGTCGCCTCTGCCGAATGCAATCATCGATCGACGAAATCGCTCGCGACTGGCACGGCCAAGCTGAACGCGCATGTCCTCACAGAGAGGCTTTCAAAGCGGAGCCTCTTGCCAAATAAACTTCGGTGCTTGCTTGACCGATGGCGAGCAGACCGACGTTTCTTTGGCAAGCCATGCGGCTCGTGTCGCGTCATTTGTTCATTGTCGCACGCGCGGCTGCGAGGCTATCCGTCCACGTTTCTATCGCGATCTATGCCGCTCTTATATCTCTCCATTAACCCTTTGGGTTTCCTCTGTTTCTTCAGTCTATTTCGTCCAACATCCTTTAATCTTCCAATTTAACGCGTCTTGTTTTTATATCAAATATAAGCGCTCTTTCCGCGAGGAAATTGCTCGGATTGAATTGTGCTAATTATACTCGATTTTTTTCAACAACTATCTCATAAATTGATATTGATCTCTTATGAGAATAAGTTTCTTTGAGTTAAGCAAAAATTAAACGCAATATTTAAAAAGAACTTATTTATATCTATAAAAAGGGACAAGTTTCTTGCATATAATAAAAATGTCGCTACTCACGTCACACTTTATTGTAAAGTTATAAAATATACGATTATAATTTATAAAAAAATAATAAGAAGTAAGCTAAAGCTTGACCAGTTAAATATAATTATCTAGTTTATTAATTATTTCTCTTGTAAAATTCTGAATCATAATCCTAATCAAAATATATACACAGAATATTTGCTAAAATGTATATATATATATATATATTAAATTTTGAAATAATTTTGCATTGGATTCACAATCCAATGAGTTATCTCTGACTAGCAATTTTTTATTATTCTATCATGATCATAAAAAAATAGTGATCGTGTTAAAAAATTAGTTGATAAATGTTGGAAAACAAACGATTCGAGAGAGCACATTTCCTCGTTTTACATCTGAGTCGCAACGAAAACACGAGAATTTCGATATTAAATCCTCGCTTACCAGTAATAATCGGTACTAAACCTGGCCTCGCAGCTGAAAAGTATCCACGTATGTAACTAGTAAATCAGTTTATTTGCGATATGTGGATTATTTAACTTAGCAACGACACGCAAGGACGAAGATAGATATAAGAAAAAATATTTTAATCCTTTAACTCGATGACTTAAATTTCTAATTTTATATATTAGAAATGATTATTTGTCTTATGATAAATTGAAAAAAATATAATATTGCATAAATCAAGAAGTGAACTCAAAATGACAGTTAAAGGATTAATTTTTGGAATACGTTGTATTCCTATGATATTGTACTTCTATACGATACATGTGCGATTGTATAATTGTATAAGTATATATGTATGTATAAGAGATAATTGAAAGAGGTAACTTTAATTTTATTATAATATATCACAAAGTCGTGACATGTGTTAAATCTTATTTCTAAATATAAGAATAAAAAAGGCGATTATTATATATAATATATTTGTTATCGCCTATGTTGATAGAATGTAAAATGACGATAAACGTGTTCCTCATTCTTAAATCGTTAAATAATTAACGTGTTTTACCATATCAATAGGCTTTAATCTATTTTTCATCAATTGAATTTCCATCAAAAATATCGACTCAACTTCTATTAATTAAATCGAGCTAAATTTTATTTATATAGAAGAACAAAGAAAAGCTTCTCTCTCTTATTCAAATGTATTTATGATATTTATCTCCTTGCTTTTAAATTATTACGACGTATTCTGCCGCAAATTTGTAAATAGCTTTGCAAGAAAAAGGAGGAAATATTTTTTTTTTAATTATATAATAAACTAACAAAAAAGAGTTAAATGTATGTATATTCCATGATTTTGAATTTAATGATAGTAAATATAAAATAATTCTTAGATAAAGGATAATTCATTAATATCTTATGCTCAATTTTGTATCGTCACTTGTGTGACAAACAGTTTGAAAAAGTTACAATATTATATTTCTTGCAAAGAACTCAATGAAAATGTTATATGAGGTTGCTGGATAATGTAGAATTAAATAAATTTTCTCAATTCCAGATATATTAATTAAACAATATATTTACATTGAATATTAATATTCTTATATGTATTTATCTTTTCATTAACTTTTAGAGATTATTTCATAACTATATTACTCATATTAAGCTATATTACAATGCCAATCCAGATTTTAAGTTAATTTAAAAATACATTATATATATATATATATATAAAATCAAAGTTTCCTTGATAAAACCAACTATAAATTTAATTATACCATTAAATCCATAAATTCATGTTTTACATAGAATTACATATACGACCATATTTGTAATCACTATTTTATTGTTTATTATGATCAATATTACGAAATTTAAATTTATTTATTGTTTTAAAGAACCAGCACACAAAGCGTTTTAAACATTTTAGTATTTTCATGATTATGCCAATAATTACCAGTAAGGAATAATTAAGATTTGAAATAAAGTAAAATACTGTAAATAGAAGATATAAGCAGAGGAAATGCTTAAACAAAATGTTCTCATTTGTATATATAAATGTTATAAATAAATGAATGTTACAAAAATATTTTTTAATTTCTGTAGATATACAATTATTTCTAGCTTAAAATTTAATGTTTTTTTTTTAATTTTTGATATAATATTAACTTTTTTAATGTGATGTTAATTATAAATATTTTTGCAGGGACTTTTTAAAAGATGCATTTCTATGATAAAATATGCGTATCACATTTTTTTTATACTTATAATATATTTTTAAGATTTTACGAAAAAGAGTTAAAGAGTGCGGGTAACAATCAATATACCATTAAGTATTTTGTTATGTTATGCGTTTATTTGATTTCATACGTTTTTTACAAATATTGCACTCTACGCCGTCTTGATCACTACAGTTTTTCTAACAAGTAACAGAAACCATAGCAATATTAAAAATAAACTTATTTTTTATATGTTATTCTTTTAATGCATTCATGTAAAGACAACACTACAGAGTTTTATAGATTTAGTTATTTTAATAAACAATAAAATTTTTAATTATATATTTTAATTAATTAATTAATTAATAACTTTAACAGAATTTATTAATGCGTATGTATTTATTTATTTCAAATCTTTAATTTTTCTTTCTCATTCAGAAATATTCCATCCTTCAAAAAATTGTAAAATATGTAAATTTACTGTGTAAATATTTTTAAGATAGATATTTTTTTAAATCTTTCAATAATTTTGAAGTCAATCTTCTAATTAATCACGAGTTATTCTATTACTTTTAAGATTTTTACTTAGCGAATTAATGTAACTTATTCATTACTAATTCCGCTTGATATCAGACTGATCATATGTATATTGCAAAAATAATTGAATCATGTATATTGCAAAATAATTGAATCATGTATATTGCAAAAATAATTTTAAATTATTAAATTGCAAACGCAAAAGTGGCTTCGAGTGCAAATGAGTATGCTTTTTAACGTATGAAGAATACGTAATGCCGGACTAATTACTGACGTGTAGAGTAGTGACCACATTTTTTACAGAGCTCCTTATTGCCGTCTTGATCTTCTTCATTTCCTTTCTCTTTTATCCATTTTTCTCTCAAAACTCGAATGGGCTCTAGATCACCTGTATAAGGTCGACTACCGATAGCAGCTATGGTCTCACTTCTGGGAAAGCCTACGTTGGCCGAAGCAATGGTCACCGGGTTATTGTCATTGTCTTCGGCATCAATACTGACTAGTGTACCGTTTACCACTGCGTAATTTGAACCGGCCTTCGACAAATTCCTATAGCATGCTTTGGAACTATCAGATTCCGCCAAGTTGTTATGAACAAGTAATTTATCTGTAATAACCATATTATAGATTCTGCAACGCATTATCTTATTTTTACTATTTACAGTAATCAATATACATATATACCATTATCAGATTCGCTCATTTTATCGACGTCGGATATTGATTCGTATGCCCCGGTGTATTCATCTTCTTTCATTAATGGTAATTCGGAAGGAGAAGCCAAAAGTGGACGGCTGCAAACGAATCCCTAGAAGACACATGTTCACAACATCATGTAGTTACTCAGTATAATTTCATATATACAAAGTACTCTTAAAATATAAAAATAAAAATTAGCGATTTAAGTATACCTGGACGAGATCCATGCGAGAATCCAAAGAAAACTGTTTGCCTGACATTAGTATCCCGCGAATACGACGACGCATGGCTAAAATAACAAACATGAGATGATATATCGGTCTATAAATATAGAATATTGATTTTGTTTTATTATGAAAGGAATATGCACATTACAAATAGATATATGTATTTTCTTATTTTTGTAATCCTGAGTAGATTCGAAATTTGTATTGGTGAATAAATTTTTTACACACATATTAAAACATTTCTCTAATGAATATAGTATAACAATTCATTTCGAATCACACAATATATGAGGTATTTACCTGGACTATCCCTCGCCTCGAGGTTAATCTTCCCAAAAGTTTTCATGCATTCTTCAAATACATCGGCCGTGTCATATATGGCGGCAAAACTACCGTTCACGATTTTCGGTGACATCGGCGAATTAGCCAATAATAAGCTCGATCCGAAATTTTCATTCTTCTGTCTCGTATCTTCAAATCATTAAAATCAACTTTATATTTATTACAAAAAGATTGTTTACAACTCATTTTTATATAGGAAATAATTTTAATTTGTTATATATTAAACAGACATAATATAATGCAAAATCTTTTTAACATGCACATTTATTTTATGTGTCGATTCATGATTTATATCTCTATTTATATCTCTACTTTATTTTACTGGAAATTTCTTTTAAAAAAAAAAACAATTTAAAATTATTGTTATTAAAGATTTTTGCCTGTCAAGTTGTTTGAAGGTATTCCGACTCGTTATTACCTGCGAGAGGAACTCTGGCTCGTACAGGTGATTCAGAAGTATCACCCAAAATCTCATTCGCGGTATTTCGTATTTCTGCCCAATCTCTTACAATGTCTTGATTTGTCGTGCTAAAAGAATAAATTTTTACTTATAAGTATGTTACGATAAAAACGTGCGCAAGCATTAAGATATATATATATATA